CTTTAATTACGATAGAATGACATATAATGTACTTTCAACATACTCATAAACGAGCTTTCTGTTAAGTCCCTAATTTAGATTAAAGACTATATTGTAAAATAATCACTTTGAATGTAAAGTTTGCATTGATCCCACAGTATACCTGGAGTGAAGCACTTGCTGAGGGCTTGAGCTGAGATGTTGAGGATTTGTATGCAGATTTATATTTGCCTTTTACAGAATACTGATGTAAAAGGCTGGTTGAGGAAGAGTACAATTTGAAAAGTCTGCAAAACTGTCATATAAACAAGCATTGAAGAACAGCTTCCTGCTTTAATAGAATGTCATTGGATTTTAGATGATCTATATATGAACATCTAGTTTAATACCTCTTTTGAAAGTATGGCAAAATTATCAATAAATGTGCAAGCTAACAGCACCACCCACTGATTTAAAGAGATACTTAACGCAGCAGCATACCATCTAATGGCAGCCACATATCGCTGTAGAATCAGCATATGCCACCAAACCAGAAGTGGCATATGCTGGTATGTCATCTGCTGCTTTTAGTTTTGGCACAATTTGAGACTTAGCAATGCCAAAATAATTCAATTAGAGTAATTTAAAAATGCCTGATTTTATTTTGTCTCTAATTGTTTAGTTAGACGTAAGGTTCCCACTGATAATTTTTGTTTTCTGGGCAAATAATGACATGAATAACTTAGTTGAGTAGTTTTCCTGCTTAGTCTAAGTAAAAAGAATCAAACAGCAGAGTTCATTTATTTCTTTGTAATACAATTGTGTAGACAGCTTGTGTCACCTAATGTTGTCATGAGATGACAAATTAGCAGGAGAAGTGTTTCGGTCACTCGCTTACATTTTTGGTTCCCCACAACTTGGCTAAATATTTTATTGTCAGCATGTGTTGCATAACACAAACCCTTTGAGGGCAAAACAAATATTTTTATTCTGGTTTGTTTCAACAGCAAAGCTCAGCGTGACATCAACTTGCCTTCAAGGACTATTTGAATTTCTTTGAAATTACCCAGCTTTTGATGTTCATCTCTTTTTTCTTTTACGTTACTAGCCCGCTCAGAATTTCAAAACAGAATCTGAAGTAGTATAGTCAAAAAAAAAAAACAATTCAGCCTTTAATTTTTTCTGTCTTTTCTTTTGATCTGTGACTCATTTTAAATTTTCTCTGTTCTGTTATCTTGAATGGTTACTGCTTCTGCATGACATAGTGTATTTTTTAAACTAATTGCTGACAAAACCTTTTTCTTTTTCCCTTACTGTTTTTATCTGTCTTTAAGGATTTCCCTCTGCTCCAGTTAGATGATGTGGTGGGTGACCAGTCCAACATTGTTGGTTTCTCTATGTTGAACACTTCCCATCCTTTCTACCTGGAGTTCATCAGGAGCCTAAACTTGTCATGGAAGGAAGGCTGCAACATCAACCCATACCCAGGACCTGCGGTGAGCGAAAGATGTAGAGAGAAAAGTTTACTTACCAATTAGTTACTGTGTTTGTTCATGGAACTTATTTTGACTTAATTCAGAATCAGAATCAGAATCATCTTTATTGGTCAAGTTTGTGTGCACAAACAAGGAATTTGACTTTGGATTCCAGCATTCACATCATACCAAAATAATTATATAAATTTTAGACTAAATAAAAAATAAGGATAAGCAAGTAAAATGTACATATATTTGAATATGAATCTTTTTTTTTTAATAAAGAAAGACAGGTTGTTATTGTGCAAATATGCTTATTCTGTTTCACTGTAGCTGACAACTCTGGCTGTAAGGTGTTCATTGTGTTCATCAGAGAGACTTTCTCCTTTTTGGAGAAACTGTCTCCATAGCAGCTGGTTTTTGCAGTAGCTCTGTGTAGTGCAGACCTCAAGGTAAAAGTCAAAACAGATTGTGACCAGGTTGTGTGGGGTCAGCAGAGATGTTAGCTTCCCTTTTCCTGACTCTAGACCTGTACAAGTCCTGGATGGCGGGAGGTTTAGCCCATAGAATCCTATCTGCAGACCAAATTGTTTGGTGCAGTGGACCTGTCATTTTTTGTGGATGAGCTAAGACACATAATGATGGATGCGCACTGGACAAGATTAAATATTGATTATACTTCTTGAGTTGCTGCAGGAAGTACAGTCTCTGCTGGGCGCCTTCCGAACAGTGTATATGTGTCAGGACCACCTTATGTCCCAATAAAGGGTAGTTCCTAGGAACTGGAAGTGACCCACAGTTGACAGCATTGTTGAGGACAGTGAGGGGAGAGAGAAGCTGGGGGGGGGGGGTCCACTGGGCAGCGCTGTTGCTGATGGTTCTTGTGTGGGAGAAGATGCTGTCCAGCCTTACCTGCTGCCGGTAGGTCAGGAAGCCAGCGATCCACTGACAGGTAGAGGCCAGCACTTTGAGCTGGGTGAGCTTCTGTTGGAGGATATCTGAGGCCTATTTCCTCCCCGCCACACTACCTGCCGGTGCTTGGTGTCTCTGCCCGCTGGTGTACTTGTGGTTCTTGGTGTCCGGGGATGGGTGCTTTGGTGTGTACCGCTAACTCCCAGTGGCTGCTTGCCAGGACCTGGACCCGTGGGCTCTGTCGGGCCTCTGCTTGGGGAGTGATATGTCCCGGGGTCTCGGGTCTCTTGGTCCATGGCCGAGCTAAAGTCCACAAAGAGGATTAGCATTACATATTAGTGCTTAGCACATTAGCACATTTAATTAATCATGTTTAGAAATTACATCCTTACATTAACTTTTCAATAACCTATTGTTTCTGAATCTAGCTTTGGTGTACTTACCTTGCTGGTTTGTGCTAAAAAGTCTGGCTCTCTCTTGTTATCCTGCAGCCTGAATGAACTAGACTCATGGCTCCACATATATATATATTTATATAATTATGTAACTAAAATTATTATAAAAATCTACTGAGTGCCAAAAAATTCCTTTGAAGTCATACAACTTTGATAAATACTCAACAAGAGCTTCTTGTTTCTCATTTTGCAGCAAGCTTATCCTGATCTAAGCTCCTAGAAGCAAACCATGTAATGCTCTATTTCTTCTCTTTACAACTCTTAATTGTAGGAGTTATTAATTAAAGTTTAGTTTTGGTGGAGGTATGACTTCATTTATGTGGACTGTGATGAAAAATAGTAAAAACATAAAGAAAAAAAGGCTGATATCAAACTAATTAAGAGGAAAGCTGATTAATAATCCATTTATTTCATATGATAATTTAATTTATGAATTGGTGTTGTGTTGTGGGTTTGGAGTTGGATCAAAGCACAGAGATGAGTAATGAGGGTCATGGGCAGAGAAAACAGCAATGGTAAGGGGTGTGGATAAAATAACGGGCAGACAAACGGGAAGTGTAATAGGAGAATCCTGCAGGGAACAGTGAGAATCAGAGAGCGTATATGGTGAACGAGGTGTGGAGAATGACATCGGATGCCAGTGTGTTAACCAGTAAACAGTAGGGAGCAGCTGAGGAAGAAGTAGGGAGACTGAAGGAAGGAGACTAATTAACACAGAGGGGCTGAACTAAGGCACAAGTAAACACTAAACTAAATGGGAAAAGGCAAATACTAACCTAAGGGGAATAAAATATAATACACAGGGAACAAAACACAGGAAATAAGTAAGAAATTAAACCTAAAGGAAAGAACCAAATACACCAAGACTATATAGCACATAATCAACCACAGGAAAATTGATGAGAACAGAGATGCAAAAGAAACCCGACACCTAAACACCTAAGGATCATAATAATTGGGTTTTCTTCTGTTACACTAACCAATCTATCTTGTCCTACCAATCTCACATAAAATGTTTATAGTTATTTTATAGTTAGCAACACACTTCGAAGTCTCTTTGAATGCTAATTAGGAATAGTTTTATTATGCTGACAACAGAAAGCGCATGATCTAAAAGTTGTAGAGAGATATATGATGAGTAAAATCACTGCAAAGTGACACATGTGAGCCTGTAGAAACAGCTGTGGTTCCAGACAAAAACAGGTGAGAGCTGCCAATTATTTGTTCCCTCATTCTCTTTTCCCTTATCTATCGGTCTCTCATTTCAATCAATCTTAGCTGTTGTCATTAAGCTCTGAATCTATTAACTTGCCAAAAACTCCTATCCACAAACATCTGTCTTTTTTATCAACCTTTCACAGATTGTGCAGCACTGCCTCTTTGCAATTTATCTGATTCTCTAAAAGTGTCGGTCTGAAAGACAGCTGACCAAACAGGCTCTGATACAATCATTCCGTCTCATGAGTGGAATGCAACCGATAGCAGGTGTGCCTAACTTCACCTTTTTTCTGCACAAATTTAACCAAAACCTCCACAACAGTGACATTCTCACTAATTATTTGGATCTCTAGACAATACATTTCATTTAAAAAATGCTAAACAGAAATCTAAAAGCTTTAGCCAACAGTCTTTTTATTGTAGTTATTTATGCTCGAAGTAAACAGCTTAACAGCTATAAGCCATTGACTCTAATGGTAATGTTATAACTTAAAAAAGCCAGAAATAAGAAAAAACAGTCACAAAGTTGCTTGTTTGTCACATCCTATTACCGTCCTTTTGTCTCCTTCTCTTTTTTGTTGAAAGCATTTTTGTCTCTGTGCTAAAGTATGCCTTTGCCATTTTTTTAGGTGTAGCCGTCAATGTAGAGATTTTTCTTGTTTTGAACAAATTCTGAGCCATTTTATGGATCATTTTCTCATTGTTGCCACTTCTTTATGTTGTTCTATGTTAAAGCTTTTGTTGACAGTTCTGCAGTATTGCTTTCTGACAGACATTTCCAGATAGTTTTATAGCAATCCCAGTCCCAGACTGGTAGAGGGGCTCTTTTTCCGTGGATGAGTCTTTTGTCCATCAGGACTTTTATTTTTGTCTTCTACTGCCTGCCCATCAATGCTACTTGCTGGTACAGCAGGAAAAATAAATAGTGATAAATGTTAAACGTTTTTTCTTAGTAATTATAGTTCTAATGGGTATATTAGGCTGCACGGTGGTGCAGTTGGTTGCAGTGCTACCTTGCAGGAAGGTCCTGGGTTCGACTCCCAGCCGGGGATCTTTCTATAGCGGAAATGGATAATGGATGGATGGATAGACAGATGGGTATATTGAAGATTACCTGGGTAATAACCCAACAATTGAATGCTTTGCTCAGGTGTAACTTTAATCCATTCCTCCACACAAACTGGCTTAAAATCTTAAATGTTTTGGGGCCTTCCTCCCGGTTTATTAATTGAAAATAAAATGAGAGACTGACTGGCTCATTCAAGTTGCTTGTTCTTTCTCTGAAGTCAGTTTAGAGTTCCCTTGCCTGTGTAGTTGGGATCATTTCTTGCTAAAAAAGTGCATCTATGTTTCAGTATGACATTGTTTTTAAGAATGTAAATTTCCCCATTCATCCTTCCTTCAGTTATATGAAGAGTGTCAGTTCAATATGTTGAAAAACAGCCTCACGCTATGATATTTTCAATTCCACACTTTGGTATGGTGTTTCTCAGGTGATGTGCAGTGTCAGTCCTCCTCCAAACATGGATTGTGTATAAGCATTCAAACTATTTTTCCATTGTTACTTTCATGAAAGTATAAAAAAATTCTACATTTCCATGTATTTTGGGTGCACAGTTGAAAAACCTAATGTAATTGGTCAGGTAGCTAATTAGAAATTTATGTTTTATTTTTATGTTATGAGTATAATCATGGGAATTATTTATAGCCAAACAGACAGCAATAATTTTTGCAATGTTGATTTTCTTAATGCTTTATTCATAATCACAATAAAGTTCAAAGAATATTGGGATAACTTTACAGTCCATTTCCTCCATCCCTAATTTGTTGCCATTAAGACTTTTACTAGAAGTGGTTGTGCAGTTAAATAAGATATTGACCTAAGCAATTTCTATTGTCTTAAAAGACTCAAATGAAACTGTATGCATACTATGTCCACCAGCAACAGGTACAATATTCCACATTTTGAAGTTTTTACTCATAAATTTTATCAGCATTTATTAGTTTTAATTTGTCTCATCAGAGCTGTATTGATTTCATGACTAGAGCAAACAGCTGGATGGTTTTCAAACTATCTGGCTGGATGTCAACAGTGTGTACAAGACATCGGTCTGTTATCTGATTACATGAAAATCATGAAAGATGTCTCACAAGGCTCTATTCTGGGTTGTATACTGTTTTCAAGTTATGTTAATAATGTTGGTCAAAATGTTACAAAGGCCAGTATGCATTTATATGCTGATGACACGATAATTTATTGTCATGCAAAGTCTGCAACATTGGTTCTTGAGCGTCTGCAAGTCTGCATTTGATTCCATCCAGTCAGATCTATTTCAACTCCCAACGTGTTCTTAATGCTGAAAAAACAAATGCCATATTGTTTACAAACAGAAGAATGTTCCAAAATGATTCCGCCTATTAGATCTATAAATGGCATAGCTTCAGATTTTGTAGGAACCTATAAAAACCTTGGCATTGTCACTGATAGAAAACTATTTTAAGAGTCACATTGACCATATAAAAAAAAAAAAAAAAGAAACTAAGGCTGGAACTAGGAGTCTTTCTTGGAAATGTTTCATGTTTTCATCTTGTGGCTCGTAAACATCTTGTGTCAGCAATCTTTCTACCACTGCCATTCCATGGTCATGTTTACATGAAGACCCCAGCCAGCTCTCTGCACATGTTGAATGTTGCTTATCATGGAATTTTGGGATTTAAAACAAATTGTAAACATTTTACACCCCACTGTACCCTATGTTGTCTAGTAAATAGGCCACCATTATCTACCCACAGACTCCGCTTTTATTTACAATTCCACCTTTGGTTTTTTTGCCTTGGTCTAGCTTTCACTTTTACTGTTTGTAAAATTCATAATGATTTGGTAGCTGAAATATTGTTTGACGTCCATGGAATCCTTTTCGCAGAAGTTAGTCATTATAAAGATAGGAAGAAAATGTCTCCAGCACCTTTTAAAAGCAAAAAGGGTGGAAGAAAAGAAGAAGTCTTACTTATCCATTTATTTCATGCCTAGCTATCATCAGCCCTGATGTTTGATGCTGTTCACGTGGTGGTGAGTGCGGTGCGGGAGTTGAACCGTAGTCAGGAGATTGGAGTGAAGCCACTGAGCTGCACCTCCCCCCTCATCTGGCAACATGGAACCAGCCTCATGAACTACTTACGCATGGTAAACAAACACACACACACATACACACACACACTTCACATACTCATAATTCACATGTATGAACACAGCACACCAGAAAGGTCAAAAAGAAAGTTAAGCTAAGCTTTGAATTTCTCATGGAGCACTGCTCAGACCAAAAATAATAGACCTGAAAATAAAAGAGTTTGGCACAACTGCAGCCCTTCCAAGACGCACCCAGTCATGTAAACGGACTGAAACACAACCAGCTACTGGACACATTGCAATGGGAGGAGCTGCAGAGATCCACATCTTTTGGTATACAATTTTTTTGTTGTGCGCTCCACAAATTTGGCCTTCATGGAATAGTGGAAAGACAAAAGTCATTGTTAAAAGAAGGCCATGAAATTTCCAACTTTCAGTTTCATACAAGCCATCTACAAAACATAGCAAACATGTAGAAGAAGGTGCTACGATCAGATTTAACAAAACTTTTACTTTTTGGCCTAGATGCAAAATACTATGCTTGGTGGAAAGCAAAGGCTGAACATCACCTTGAACATGCCATCAACAGGTGGAAACATGGTGTGTCAAGGATTGCGGTTCAGGACCAACATTTAGACGGGAGTTCGGGAGCAGCATGATTACTAAGACGTTTTTTTTAATGAAAAATGATAGGAAACTTACAGAGCTAGAATCTAAGGGTAAGCACATGGAAACCGGAAACCATACATGGGGACAGGTAACAAAAGAACCCAGTGACAGACAAAGACAAACTGAGAGCTTAAATAGCAGATCCAAACAAATGCAGGGAATGGGCTAAATGAGGAGGCACAGGTGAATAGGATCTAATTAATTGGTGGCTCTGGCTGAGGGAAGAACTTAATAATTGACAGGGGAAGACAGGAAGGAACGTGAATGGAGTTCAATACAAAGTAGCCCTAGAAAAAAGACCTCTGACTGGGGCAGAGTTTAACCTTCCAGCAGGACATACACGCTAAATATACATCCAAAGCTGCTATGGAATGGTTTGAATTTTTGCATTTGCATTTTTTTAAAGAAATTCTATACCAGCAGTAAAGTATCAGTACTGGATAATGTAATGTAACAAATAATTACAATGTGGAATTTACTTAACATAGTTACTGGAATCTAAAAAGGCTCAATTCGTTTGCCATATTGTCTTTAAATATGCTTTAGCATAACAGATTAATATTGCTTAGAGCTCATAAAAAGGATTGAAATTACATGCAGAAAGGTCCACTTTCAAATCCATCTGCATGATTGCCATAATATTTTATCCATCCATCAATTTGTGCAAGATTTTGATCAGTTGTCCATTAACTACAATTATCCCTTCATTCGGAGGCAACATTGTTTGGTTTGTCTTAAAGATGCAGCAACATTATCTAATGATTTTGCCTTTGCTTATATTAATTTTATGTTCCGTTGTGAATATTTTGTGTGCTTTGATGTCTGTTTCTCGTTGTTGCATTTTCCACTACCTTTGTAGTTTTTTGTTTGTGTAATAGGAATTATTAGGTTGCATTTTAGTTAACAGCGCTTGTCCCAAGAGGCTCATGAAATATGGCAAAAAATCTTACATTTGTGCAAGACATGACTAAGAGCAACATAAATGCTGAGTTTCAGAATCAGAATCAGCTTTATTGCCAAGTTTGTACATACAAACAAGGAATTTGACTCCGGTACACTTTGCTCTTTGGTTTTGTTTTTGCACTACAGAATATACATATTTACAATGTACAAATATACACATATATAAATAAAAAGGTGCATTTGCAACATCTGTCTGCTGTTGTTTTGTACTCTATTGAATGTTCAACAGAGAAACAGCCTGGGGGAAGAAACTGTCTCTGTGGCGGCTGGTTTTAGTGAACAGCGCTCTGTAGCGTCGGCCTGAAGGCAGAACTCTAAACAGTTTATGTGCAGGGTGTGTGGGATCTGCAGAGATTTTAGCAGCTCTTTTCCTGACCCTTGACCTGTATAAGTCCTGGATGGAGGGAAGGTCAGCCCTGATGATTCTCTCTGCAGTCCTGATTATTCGTTGCAGTCTGGACCTGTCCTGTTTTGTGGATGAACCAATCCACACTGAGATGGATGAAGACAGGACAGACTGAATGATGGCAGTGTAGAAGATGACGCACACTCCTGTGAAGGTTGTACTTCTTGAGTTGCCTCAGGAAGTACAGTCTCTGCTGGGCTTTCTTTCGAACAGTGTCTATGTGTGAAGACCATCTCAGGTCCTCAGAGATGGTGGTTCCTAGGAACCTGAAGTGATCCACAGCCGACACGGTGTTGTTGAGGATGGTGAGGGGGTGTTATGGAGGTGGTGTTTTCCGAAAGTCCACCATCTCCACAGTCTTGAGCGGGTTTAGTTCCAGGCAGTTCTGACTACACCAGTGTATCAGGCGATCCATCTCCTGTCTGTATGCAGACTCATCACCGTCCTGGATCAGTCCAATGACAGTGGTGTCATCTGCAACTTAAGGAGTTCACGGACGAGTCCGCTGAGGTGCAGTCATTTGTGTACAGGGAGAAGAGGAGTGGGGATAGAACACACCCCTGGGGGCACCAGTACTTATTGATCTGGTTCGGGAGAAGATGCTCCCCAGTCTCACCTGCTGCTGTCGGTCCATCAGGAAGCTGTTGATCCACTGACGGGGGGGGGCTGGGACGTTGAGCGGGGTGAGCTTCTGGTGGAGGGGCTGGTAATGGTTGGGTTGAAGGCGAGCGGCTACAAACAGGATCCTGGCGTAGGTCCCTGGGCAGTCGAGGTGTTGCAGGATGAAGTGTAGACCCAAGTTAACAGCATCATCTGCCGACCTGTTTGCTCGGTAAACAAACTGCAGGGCGTCCAGTAGAGGGCCTGTGACGTCTTTCAGGTGCTTT